TTGAGACGAGTTAGTTACTTAGATCTAGAAACCTGAGAATGGTGGATGGGAATCGTGCAGCGGTGCGCGCATGGCCTTCCATTAGGGTTTACAATTCCGAGATGGCCTTCCGTTTCGCGAAATCCGGTGGAAAGCCGGTAGATTCCAAACAAATTTCATAAACCAATTTTTTTTAAAACAAATTTCTTGAAATTTACCGATAAGCTCGTGAAAACTGGTCTTGGCGAAATTCCGAGCGAAATCATCGAAATTTCAATCGGTAACTAGGAAATGAAACTGATTTTTTCCTTTTTTTTAATTCGTTATTATTTTCTTTCTTTCTGTAAATTTCAGTAAATACACGGAATATATCTTCTTTTTGAAAATTTATATCCCAATAGATTCTATGAATATCATACTATTTATAAGATTTTATTTTATTTTATTCCTTTTTATCAATTTAAATTTGAATTTGGATGAAACTCATCAAAATCTCAGTCGGCTTCAACTTTTGAGCCTTGTCGAAACCTCGAAATTTCACGGAATTCGACCGTTTTCGTCGGAATTGTAAACCCTACCCTCCGTTCACAGAGCGAATAATCATAGTAGCGGTCTCTGTCCAAACAGCTAGCATAGAAAATTCTTCCGGTAGATTTCACCGTATCTGCAGCCAAATCAGAAAGTTCGTCGTGTTTATAGGAAAAAAAAAATCAGCCACAACGTTAAAATCAACGTTTTAAAACTAAAAATACAAGTTAGGAATTCATTGGAGGGAGTTCAGTCATATGCTATTGGATAAAAAAAAATTCTGCTATGAGCTAAATAGACGTCCATGCTTTGTTGTAGATTAAAATAAATTATATGTGCGCTAATATTCCTTGGAGCAAATTAATTGTGAGATTTTTGGTATTTTTTTTGTTTGTGCAAATGTCTTTGCATAATAAATTGTATTTTAGGGACGAAATTAGATAGAATCATATATCTGCAGAACACTATGGGCCTGTTTGGGGAGCTTCTAATTGTTATAGCTTCTTTCAGAATCAGAAGCTCCCTAAGCAGTCCAGCTTTTGATCCAGATTCTAAGAAATTATAATTGTAGAATTCAGAAAATGAACTAAAAGTCAGAAACTAGAAAACCCAGCTTTTCCAGATTCTCATAAGTTGGTTACAAACCAGCTGTTTCTCAGAATCTTAAGCTCCCCCAAACATGCCCTATATGAAATAGTAGTTAGTAACTTAGTATAATATGAAAATGTAGTTTGTAAAAATACTCTATCGAACAAAATTGATGGGGTAACCGATTGGAAAAGATATAAATTACCCCCAAACTATTACAGTAGTACGATTTAGAGTTCTAAACTCTAAAACTTTTAAGCCTTAACTATTCAATCCGGATGAACTACCTTCCTAAATTAATCTGGAGTAATTTTGATCTGACATAGAGCACACATTACAGTGGTTTGACTAACGTGGTGTGGCGGTCCAATCAGGAAAAAAATAAAAAATAGTGGGTCCCACACGCCATGCCTTTGTTTCCTTGAATATACTGTGGAGAGAGAGAGGGAGAGAGAAAGAGCTGGCGACCGGCAGCGGCCGAAGAAGCCTTGGGTGGCGGCAGAGATTGGTCCCCTAGGGTGCAAGGGACGAAGTGCGGTCGTCTGGACAAGCCCAGGGTGGCGACGACACACGTGGTCAATTGAAGAAGCCCAAGGCAGTAACGGTAGCCTTAGATCCAGAGGAAAGGCAAGACCGCGAGAGCGATGGGGACAGGGCAGGCCCAGCATGGGAGAAAACGAAGTTTCGGTCACCGACCTCCACGAACTCGCCACTACCATCATCCTTCTCAAGCTCGTGAAATAGGGCAAGACTGCCATGGAGGTTGCTAGTTGGGAACTCCTAAGGTGTGGTCTGGTCAGTGGCTCCACCTCAATCTGCCTTCTCATCTTCCCATCCCGACGGCTCCGCTGTGGGTTCCGATAGAGAAAGGCCTCCACCATTGCCTTTGTGTGAGCTCTGGCTCATCGCCACCTCCGTGCGAGCTCTACCTCCTCAGTCACTGCAGCCGTGGCAAGGGTGCTATTGGGTATGATTGGAGTGTGCCTATGCGTTGACGAAGGAAGAAGGCTGGTCGTAGGCGGCGGCAACTGTAGCTAGCCAAGCTCGTGGAGCCCCCTTCCTCCCCTCCCTGTTCGGATTAGCCCTCGCCACTAGCGCTCTCTCCTCTGCTCATTGAGAGAGAGACAGAGAAGGAGAGGGAAAAAGAAAGAAAGTGAAGCTAACAACTGGGTCCACCGGTATTAATTTTAATTTTTTTCCTAAGTGTATTGTCATGTGTGCGCTACGTACGATCAAAACCGCTTCGTATTGACTTAGGGGTAATTCATTCAGACTAAATATTTCAGGGTTAAAAAAAACCTGATTTTAGAGTTTAGGGGTAAATCGGTCGTAATTCAAACTTTTTCTAACATATTTGTTGCCACCACCATTTTATTTTTCTTGTTTTTTTTTTTGCAAAAAAACATATACAACTTGCTATTTGTAGCTGTGAATCTGATAGTTGATTGCTGAGTACGTGAACCTCATCGTTGACCATCGAAATGGATAGCTGTCTATCTGTCTCCTCTTTTCGTTTATACTTATTATAAATAATTTATTAGTAATAAAAGATAATTATGCAAAATTTTTATATATGTATTCTTAGTGATAATAAACTAAGAAATGAAATACGATGAGAAAAAAAAATCCAAATATCAACTCTAAAATTAAAAGTTAAGTTTTACCGTTTATCTTTTTTAAGAATTATACAGTACAGCGCAAACACTTACAACGCCGTACACTCATCCCTATGAACACACGCACGTAAACCCTACGCCGTACACTCATCCTTATGAACGCACGCACGCAAACCCTACCCATATAAGTATTTTCGAAGACTGGACCAGTAAATCCTGGAGATTGATGAAGTCACCATAGACGGTCTTGTAACCACTAGGCTATAGTTTAAATTTTTGTTCGTCCTTAAAAGCTAAAGGCCAAAATTTAGTTTCCGCTTAAGTTGCTGCCAAGTCATATCTAGCAAGGTAGAGACAAGTGTTTTGTTAGGGTAGGGTTAAAGACAAGTTGATGGGCGCAAGTGTGTTTTGAGTTTTTTTTTTTAAATCAGATTTGTGATATATGAGGACAGGTGGTGGCCATGGTTAAAGTGAGCGACAACAAGGCACCGAAGCGAGTTAGATCCTGGACCGACGATGATTCAGTGATGCTAGATCGTGCAGCCATGCTGCCCATGCACGCAATATGGCACCAAAGATCGCAGAGGATATCATAGTGCCACATGCACAATTCTTTATTTCTCAGTAGATTTTACCGTATCTGCAGCGGAATCAGAAATTTCGTCGCGTGCTGAGAGCGAGAGAGAAAAAAAACCCAGCATATACGTAGGACCTTTTTTTTTCTCAAAGTATAAAAAAATAAGATTAGATGAAATATTTTATAATACTCCTGTCCAAATGTAGTTTTTATAGTATAATATTTTATTCTAAAATAAAGCTATTTCTTCATCTATCTTCTCATCTCAATCAATCGCAATCATTCCCCTTCACCTACTTCTCTTTTTAACAAATCACACACTTCCCTTAATTATTCCCACCTACTTTTTTACTACCCGTACCAACCTAAAAAATATTTATATTTTGGACGGAAGAAGTATTTTGGACGAAGATACTAGTATATACTACATCCGTTTCAAAATAAGTGCAGCCGTGGAAATCCGTGTCCAACGTTTGACCGTCCGTCTTATTTAAAAAATTTATGAAAAATTTTAAAAAAATTAGTCACACATAAAGTATTATTCATGTTTTATCATCTAATAACAATAAAAATAATAATCATAAAAATTCTTCAAATAAGACAAACGGTCAAACGTTGAAGATAAATAGTGCAAAACTGCACTTATTTTGGGACGGAGGGAGTAACATCATATAGTCTTCATTCCGTCCCATAAAAAACCAACTAGATGTGACACATCGTAGTACCATAAATCTAGACATTTCTCTATCCAGATTTGTTATACTAGCTTAGATTCGATTTTTTTTTTTTGGAGCGAAGGGAGTAGTAAATAGTAATCCCTCCGTCCCAGAATATAAGGATTTTTAGGGTTGGACACGGGTATTTAGAAAGTGGGTAGAATTAAATGGTTGAAGGTTGTGTTGGTTGAGAAGTGGAGGTAGATAAGAAAATTAAACAGTGGAGAGTTGTAATTGGTTGAGAAGAGAATGCTGGTGAAAAAGTTCTTGAGACATAGAAATTGCTATTTTTTGAGGGATGGAAGGAGTAGGGCGTTGTTTAGATTCCAACTTTTTTCTTCAAACTTTCAACTTTTTTTCCGTCACATTGAACTTTCCTGCATATACAAACTTCCAACTTTTCTAACACATCGTCCCAATTTATTCAAACTTCCAATCTTGACGTGAAACTAAACACAGCCTCTAACTTTTCTAACACATCGTCCCAATTTATTCAAACTTCCAATCTTGACGTGAAACTAAACACAAGCCCTGTTTCTTTTAGCTTGGGATTATTATAATCTAGATTATTGGTAGTAAGCTGAAAGAAACAGACAGCTTATTGAAGTAACTTATTATAATCTGGAGCCCAGCTTATTATAATCTGATAAGCTCATTTAGGTGAGCTTTTTCCAGATTATTGGGTGAAAAATTACCCACCATGCCACCCCACTCCCTTTTTAGACTTGCAAACCCAATAATCTAGGCTCTAATAATCTAGGAAAGAAACAACTAACCACTTATTCTACTACAGATTATAACAATCTGTTTATAGTAATCTAACTAAATAATCTATATTATAATAATCTTAAGCTGAAATAAACAGAGCCACAGCCTAGGAATTAAATCCACAAATCGTGCTGGGTTGGTGGAGTGCGCCTAGCAAAAACGTTGCACATTTACGCTCCTCTGCCGCGGCTCTGCATCCGTTTAATTCCTCGCCTGTTAAATACCGGCCCCTCTCACCCGCATCGCATCGCATCGCAGCTATCAGCGCCACTCCTCTTCAATTCTCACGCACTCTCCGCTCCAGTGACACACACACACACGACCGCTCGCTCGTTTGCCTTGCTGCTGCCTTAGCGAGAAACCGGGAGTTAGCGAGCGAGCCGTCGTCGCCGGCGATGAGGCAACAACAAGCGGGAGGAGTTGGCGACGGGGTGAGCCCGGGCAATGTCCCCGTGTGCTACTACGGGCCCGGGGGCCGCGTGCCGTCGTCGCTGGAGCGGCGGGCGCGCGCCGCCGAGGTGCTCCTGCGCTGCGCCGCCTGCGGCCTCGCCGTGCTCGCCGCCGCGCTGCTCGGCGCCGACCGCCAGACCCGCGTCTTCTTCTCCATCCAGAAGGTCGCCCGGTACACCGACATGCAGTCCCTCGTGTAAGCCTCCCTCCTCTCGATCCCCTCCATGTTTGTAGTAGCAGTAACTTTTCTTTCCTGCTTGACTAGTACTTAGTCACTTGATGATGATGAACGCAGCAGCAAGCCAGCAACCGAATCTTTAATAAACTGTTCCAAATTTGTTTTGCACGGAGCCAGCCTCACATGCAAGATGAGGTGGCTCAGAGCACAGTAGTAATATTATCTCAAAATTCGTTGTTATGTGCTACAGTTATTTGCTTCTCACTGGTCGTTGATAGGAGCCAAAGATTCTTGCTACTACCTTTTCATGAACAGTGTGTGCCTTGGCAGCCTTGCCTTTGTGGTTGTTTAATTTGCGTGTTGCTCATCAAGTAACCAATCCCCGGTAATTCGGTCCATGTCCTAGTATGCTAGTACCACTTCCTTTCTAAGGCAAGCGTTAGAGAAAGCCTCCTTAATTTGGTACACCGATCACCTCTCTCCATGTGCGGTGAAGAGCACGGCGAGATGAACTGGTGATTTGTTGTGGTGAATGGTGTGATAGAGTCGTAATCGTAGAGAAGCTGGAGAGATTAACGGCGAGGAAAGAGTGCCAAGTGCGAGGAGATGAGATGGCCAGCCAAGCGTTTCGTACGTGGAGGGAGGGGGAAGCAGCCACTTTTAAAGCAGCAGGCGCGGCACGGTTGGGCCATTTTACTGCCCTGTCGTTGGAAGGGGGTCCCTGCTGCTTGCGTGGCTGCACCACCACACGAAGCTCACAAGTCCGTTTCATTTTAGCCTTGGCTCTGTATCTGCATGTACACGAAGCAGAGGCTCTGCTGCATCAAAGAGGGTCGTAGAGCCGTACCAAAAGTTGGAAAGCTCCATTAATGGCACGGCCTGTCCTTGATGGAGCCACACAGGAGAGAAGAGAAAGAGCTCTCTCTGTGTGTTTTTTTTAACCTTTTCTTTTCTGTGGAGTGAAATAGTGCAAGTTTGTTTTTCTATCCGGATCGGTGCTTGAGTGTGAGTAGTGACGATCGGCACCTACCACGTGGTGGCTGCTCAATGCGGTCTTGATGGTTAGATCATTCATGGAACGTATAAATGCATAACCTACTTCTCGCCGACCGGCACGGTTGGAGAGGGTTAACCCTCTTTTCTGTAGAACTTGTCGGTAGAATTCTGGTCAAAAATGTGCTCACACAGTTCACAGGTAGTAGTAAGGCCAGTCCCTATCCAAGACACTAGACATAGTTTTTATAAACTCCACATCATCAAGAAACTAGTACTACTACTAGACACTACTCTTTCAATGCAAACATCACTTTTCCATATTTAAATTTAATGCTACTTATCTCTTAGAGCACCCGCAATGGTAAAGTAAGGTGCTATCTATAAAACATGTACATCTCAGTAATAGACTAGATTAATAGTAAACCACTTCAATGGTATGTCTACATGGGTATCTATAGCTCTCTAATTCATTGCCTCGTTTTTCTCTATAGACTATCTCCAGATTAGTAGATAGCTTTGCTCTCTCTCTTCATTTAATCTCTTCTAAGTAAGAAAATATGCTGACATGGATATCTTGTAGAGAGCCTATAGATAACCATTGCGGGTGCCCTTATGATGTCTTGGATATTGTGTAGAAACCATATCTCATGCAAGATCTGGTTTTCTTCTTTTTTTTCTCATTTATTCACTTGCCACATCATCTTTCATTCTAGGTGACGGCTTATTTAATGCTATGGACACCATCCTAGTCATTGGGTTGGCCTAGTAGTAGTAGTAGTGTTTTTAACCTTTTGTCAGAATGATTCAGGGTTAATAATGGACCCTCCATGCAAAAATATAGGGGCGTCTTTGACGGTCCAAAAACAAGTTTCTATCGTAAATTTCTCTTACGCTATTTTGCTTACTGTGACAAAATCATACTACTAGACATAAGAAGGTACTTTCGAACATGAAATTCAACAATATTTTTTTATGGAAACATCTAAATAGTATTGGATCCATATGTGGTTAAAAATCTTGCGGATTTTAGTCCAAAAAAGGGTGGTTAAAACTCAAAATTGGATGGTTAAAATAAGTCTTGTACTTCTAAACAGTGGGGGTAAAATAAAAATGATATTGACCTGTACCATTCTTATGACAATTTTTTTTCATACCATCTTTTTTCATATATTTAGTACTGTGTGCGTACAATGGCTTTGAACATCTTTTCTAACGGAAAGGAGTAATAAATGCAGTCCAAAAAGAAAATGCAAGTCATGCATCAATCCATGATCAGTGATCCAGCATGTATGCCGAGTGGCGACCACCATTGATCCGTATTTATTTCTTTTCAGATTTGTGCTCCATCTGTCTACGTTTTGTAGTTACTGTTTCAATTGCTGTCCACATTAACACCCGTAAGCAGGACCATCTTCCCAAGGGACCATGGAATCGTGTACCGTTCAAAGCACTGACATACTATTGAGAAGCTAACCTAGATAGCTAGGACACAGAGTATAAAATAAAATACTACTCCCTTCATCCCAAAATATAAACCACAACCACTATTTTCCAATGTTTCATAATACAATTCACGCATTCATGTATGCAATTAGTTAGCACTTTTCTCTTCTTTTAATTTGTTTTTTGAAATCCTCTCTCTGAAGATCTATAATCCCATTGTATATATGAATTGTGTTTATTGGATTGGTCCAAATGAGAAGGTGATAATAATTCGTTCTTGATCTATACGTTAGTGGTGGTTGGACGTTATATTTTGGGATGGAGGGATTACTACTTATTAGGCAGCTGTGGAGGATAGGCCAGTGATATAATCATCTTCTTGTCTTAAAAAAAAGTTCCATTGCAACATGGAGTAAATATAACTGTAATAGGCACCGAAAAATAACCATGTTTTGCTTAAACTCTTTAAAAAAGTAATTTGAATAACTTCATTGGAAACACAAGTTTGATCAAGGAGCTAGCTATGGGACACGATGGTAAATCTTGCTTTCTCTGATGCAGGCTCTTGGTGATAGCAAATGGGATGGCTGCGTGTTATAGCCTAATCCAGTGTGCAAGATGCTTGGTGAGCATAGTGAGAGGTGGTGTCCTTCTCAGTAGGCCCTTGGCATGGGCTATCTTCTCTTGTGATCAGGCAAGTAGCTGCTAATGTCACAATCAGCTTTTCATGTCATTTGTTTGCTTCTGTTATTTTCTCGCATGTGTGTTTGTCACTATCAAGAGGTGACTTTTCAGCTATGATGACTACATTTTGGGTGTATATAAATGCTGATGTTCTGTACTATAGCTCTGAAATTAGGAAACCCTTTCTAGTGAGATATAATCTTCAAGGATAGGAAAGCCTTTTTACTCAGACATTCCATCTTCATAGGAATTAGGAAACCATTTCTAGGGGGTGTTTGGGAGAGGGGCTAAAATTTAGCCCCTCTCTCAAAAACATAAGTCCCTCGGACTAAAGTTTAACCCCACTTTAGTCCCTCCAACCAAACACTACCCTAGTCAAACATATCGTGCCCAAGTTAATAATACTTACTTTCTTATCTAAGAGTATTTGTGCTACACCACCATGCACAATTCATGTAATCTCTATAGTTTTCCTTTGGATCCTTCCAGGTTGCATAGAACTGATTGGTATCACAGTAACCTATCAACACATATATCCCATGTCAGAAGAAGCAAAGGAAAAACATAAAATACATATACATATATTTTAAAGTTCAGGGTATGAACTTACATATAGAAAAAGTATCTATCTTTGATATACTTTCCTCCTGTTTCAAAATACTTGATATACTAGTAATTTCATAGCCAGCAGAGGTGATCTCAACCATTGATTTATAAGTTATACTACCATTCTACTACTATCAGTTGATGAGGTGATAGTCTAGACAGATACAATCCATTGGATTAGAAAGAAATGAACATTCTAGATTGATTTCTATTACTAGTAGAGACCATGGTAAACATCTCATTTTTACTATTGAAATCAAATTTAAAAGTTTGACCATTGATATTTTCACATTATTCAGTAAGTATGCATTGTAACTCACATGGTTACATTGTTGTGCAACGCACATCGACGAAACTGTACAATATTAAGTATTCACAAATTTAGTCATAAAAAGTAGTGGCCGAAATTTGTACAGTGAGGTCAATGTTAAGTAAATTAGATATTGACGGATTAATTGAACCTTTCATTTGTGGCGCATTAAACATTGGTATCTAACATAACAGTACAGCAGCTCACATGTCACGATCAAACCGTGTAACTAGATATTGATATGTTTGGTCAAAATCGATAGACTCCCTCTCATTTCAAATTAACTGTAGATGTTGATTAGGTTTATTTTAGCTTTGACCATCAATAAACTTTAAACGTCTAGATCAATATGTACGAAAGTTTAATGAGTATATTTAGGATGCAACATACTTAGCTAATATAGAATACTTTCAAATATTTATACATTTTCTTCAAAAGAAAAAATGAGCGGACAAAATTTTAATTTGATAGTACCCAGTGACCAATATTTGAAGATGGTGTGGGTACCATTGTGAGAAAAAGAAAGAACGTTTTAAATAGCAGCTGGAATAGATGAGCAGAATGCAATATATTTTTCATTGATTTTATTGTAATTGAACACTTTTCAAGCTACAGCAAAAATATTATGAGTAGAGTGTTAGTACAATGGTTGCTCCTGCTAGCAATAAATGTGGCTAGCCTGTATAACAGCATGTGCTTTTGCTGTCTGAATTCAGAATCAGCGTTACCATCAACAAGCAGTGAGATGCACACAAAGCACTGTTAGATGTTTTTTTTTAAAAAAAAAGAAGACCTGTTTGGTGTTAGTTGGTGATATCAGAACCATCACGGTATAGCTTGGTGTTAATGCTAGAGCACTAGATCGTTCTGTTGCCTATTCTAGCATTAAATTATCAGAATACATCGTACTCTAAGCTCCAGGGCTGTGTCCATCTGAAAGTGACAGGAGCAGTTTTTACTTCAGTACGTCATTATCTAAGTTTCTTTACGTCATTATCTTCGTTTAATTACTCCGTATACGCGGTTGTAACGTTTATGATCAATGCTGATCGTGTTCCGTCTGAATTCGTATGGTTCTTTTGACTTCTTCTCCAAACTGTCAATAACACTTTTTTGTTCTTGCATCTGCTGCTACATGCGTGCAGGTGATGGCGTACATAGTGATCTCAGCGGTGGCCGCGGCGATGGAGGCGGCGCTGATCGGCAAGTACGGGCAGCCGGAGTTCCAGTGGATGAAGACGTGCCACCTCTACAAGCGGTTCTGCGCGCAGGCCGGCGGCGGCGTGGCGTGCGCCATCGCGGCCAGCGTGAACATGGTCGGCGTCGCGCTCATCTCGGCGTTCAACCTCTTCCGGTTGTACGGCAACAGCAACGGCGGCGGCAAGGCCACCACCACCACCATGGCGGGCGGCAAGTGAAGCGAGCCAGACCAAGCTGTTGCTTCTTCTTCCTCCTCTCGCTGCTGTACTGCTGCCTAGCTGCCCGTACTTCTCTCTCAGCTCTCGTAGGTTTTAACACCACAAGTAGCCATGGCCACCACCATTTGTGTTTTGAGCTTTTGGGACACGACCGGTGTATATGATGTGAAGTGATCCGCGGGGGGGGGGGGGGGGGGGGGGGGCGTGTTTGTAGTATTATATGATACTGTAATAAACAAGCGAGAAAGCGATGTATCAGTGTGGCCGCTGGCACGATGGCAGCAGGGCTAGCTAGGCAAATTTACTCGGTTAGGTGCTCGCTGCTGCTGCTGTGACAACCTTTACTCTGTTTGGTGTTCCAACTTCCAACTTGGAAGCCATTTATACTGGCTCGAGGCATGTGGTGTTTCAATTATGGGGTTGGGTAATTGTCCTAGTCTGAACAATAGACCGGTAAATCAAGTATGGTTGGCTCTTCTTCTCAATGTCCAGTAGTAATATCGAAGTGACTATACCCAGTAACATCACGGCACCAGCATGAGATGTGGCAAATTTACAGACTTATTACTATACGCGTACAGTACAGCACGTGAAGCGTATGCCTGACGTTGGGCTCTGTTGTTTGGGCCTTGTGGTCTGTTCAAAACGTACGAATAGGCCTTGTGAGCAAAGGCCTTGTGATCTATCTATATGGGCTGCCTGGGCTTAGAATTGCTCGGCCCTTAGATTTGGTGGATCCGCCAATTCGGCAATGCCTCACAGAGTCACAGATCAGATTAGGACAAAAGGTTCAGGTCAGATACGGAAACAATATCTGATTTCTGCATTAAAAATACTATCAAATTGATTTTTTTTATTTCACACAAAATCCAAAGAAAACTAGTGAATTGGCACAAAGAGATAATTTTATAGAAAATTTGAAGGATTTTAATCCTTTGAGATTATTTCATATAAGGCCCTTTGGAAGAAAAAAAAAGGAGTTCACAAAGTCTTGTGAGATTGGTTTTCTACGTCATCATTCCATAGGAAAAACTCTTGAGTTTTATTTCGTAGCTCATATATTCATTTCCATTGAGAAGTCAAATGCACATGCTCTCTTAATTTCCCTCTCCAAAACTCTCTTTGATTCCTCCAAAACTCCTGTATTTTATTTCCTCCTATAATGAATCTAGTGAGATGGAAATCATAAAGCATATTGAACAAGAGCTCAATTTTTTTGGAGGATTTGAATCCTAAGGATGAAATTCCTATAAAACCATTTGGAACAAAACATTGGTCACTAAACTTTCCTTTGAAAATTCTAGAGAATGAGCCATTCAATTGGAATCAATGGCGGAACTAGAAATTTTTTTGAGCTCAGATAAACTTCAATATAACTAGTATTTGCTATAAAAATTTCATCATCGATTTACACATCAATATTAAAATTTAATGAAGTTTTCATTGGTGAGCCCAGGCGGTCGCCCGGGCTAGCCTGGCGGTGGCTCCGCCCCTGGTTGGAATGTCGGAGGAAGATAAACATGAGATATTACCTCATGGTTTTCTCTTCTTGTGTCTACAATTAATATATTTTTCTTGTGTGATATTCAAACAATTGTGTTGAAACTATCTCATACTACCTCCGTCCCAAAATATAACATATATTTTAGGATGGAGGGAGTATTATTTATAACTATTTCAGTGTGCTATAGCTGTGTTTTTCCTATCACTACGTTTTCTAATGCTTGTGCTCCAAATGAGGTCTACTGTGCTTTTTTTCATGTGAGTCATCAAATACATGCTTTGGATTTTTTTTTTAAGATTTTTTTGTGGCATTTGATGTCACTAACATTTCAATCTTTTTTTTTCAGAAAATCCAAGAAATATCATTGAGAAACACCCAAATACAAAAACAAAAAAAAAATATCATTGATGAGTGTGAGTTCTATAAAATACCATTGTACAAGCGGTTTTATCCTAAAATATCATTATCGTTAGGGTTCCGTCCATCCCGTGCTGTTAAATGTACTATTCATCCTATAACACTTAACATATGTATGCTAATGTAACCCTAACGACGATGGTATTTCTAGGACAAAAGTCGTTTGTACGATGGTATTTGATAAAACTCATACTTATCGATGACATGTTTTGGAATTGGATGTTTGTTAATATCATTTCTTAGAGTTTTCTCTTTGTTTTTTTCAATCTCTATGTTTTTTTACTCCTATGTTTGAAATAATCCCTCAAATCATGACGACGTCAAGAGAAACAAAGCCGAGGGCAACAGAATGCATTACATTGCTTTTCAGAGTATTTTGTGTAGATAAATACAAATACTACACCAGTAGTAGACGTTTTTCAGGCAGGTTTCAAAATCCGGCGTGAATCATGGACCTAATTTGACAGGACAATTCAATGCACTAAGGCCCTCTTTAGATCCTTCAAAATAGCAAAAGTTTTACTATTTTATAGCACTTTTTACCATTTTGGATCTAAACACTAGTAGTAAAAGTTGGCAATTTGGCATTTGCTAGTCCATAGTAGCAAATTGTGCCAAAAAGTGCTTTGGGACCACTCCCTCTCTTTTTCTCTCTCTCACTTTAGTGCTAGAATGATAAAACTTTAACATGCATCTAAACACTAACTAGTACTTTTACAATGCCAAAACTTTTTCCACCCATTTGCCATTCCAAATGGATCTAAATATGCCCTAAGTGTCAGCCCAGAGCTCGACCAGACTGTCGTTGCATGCTCGCCATCTTCTTGGCGGATTTTTTAACGTTTTTAACAATTAATAGAATTTTTACTGAACACTAATGGTAATATAATTAATCATCTGGTACTACAGTATGTTTCGTTGCAACAAAAAAAGAGCGTGCGGGGTCTGCATGGCATTAGCAAAAGTGATGCAAATTTATACAGCACAGTACAGTAGTACATCTGGAATCAATGCGCAGCACAAGTTTAGCGAGAAATTTATGATCGTCTGGATGTCTGATGAAGAACACCGCAGGCATCAGGACGGCCGACGCCATATATATGTTGGGAAGATCATACATACTGTGCCATGTGTGGCTGTGCAGCATAAGACAAAATACACTCAATTATCGTATTTAAGATAGCGGTACCCAGTATACGCGATCACTGAATCCCCAGCACAGTGTACGTACATTTAAGATGTTCCTGTAGATACGTACTCTATATTCCAGATGAGCAAATGGATATTTGGCCACATTCAAAAAGCGATTTCGCTGTAATGCCATTTTGAAAACGCGTTTCGTTAAAATACCAATATGGAGCGTGCGCTCACCACCACTTTATCATTTTGGCCGTTTTGTGAATTTTCGAAATCATTTTCGCTAGAATGGCGGGTGAAGAGACGGAATTGCCACTGCTCGCCATGTGGACAGCCTTGCCGCTCGCCGACGCATCCACGATGACTCCACCCCTGGGCGCGGGGGCGCAAGCGAAGCTCCCTCGTGGGACTCGCATGTCGGGGAGGCGCTCCCAGTGGTGGCGAGAGAGGTCGAGGTCGAGCCGTTAGACGGTGGGCGAGGGGTTGTCGAGGGGATAGCTCCGGGCGTCAAAGCGGGAGCGGCCGAGGACGTAGATTTGGCTGCCGACCGCGACCGCGGCGAAGTTGGCGAGGCCATAGTGCTGTGGCGAGCACGGGATCGGCGGGAGGGACCACCAGGCGATGGGGGCGGCACGGTGGGGAAGAAGCACAGGAGGTGGCGCCGCGGAAGCCGCAGGCTGCGGTGGAGAGGGAGGAGCATGGCCGCCGAGAAGAGGAGCCGCCACACACAGAAGGTGGCCCAGAGGCGGGACTGGTCGGGGAACGTGAGCAGGTAGAGGATGACGGCGGCCACGTCGTCCGGGAGCCCCAGGATAATCGACGCCACGCCAGGCCTCAGGCTTAGGTTTCCGACGAGGCGGCGTCCAGCGGACGACAACGACGAGGCCATCCGATTGCCTCGCGCCGCGAGCGAAAAGGAAAGGGGAAGGAAGAAGAAATTGGCCTCGTGCCGCTCCGTGGACACCCGGATTTGGGAGTCGCCGACCACTGCGTGCGCGGCGACATGGGCGGGCCCGTCATCACCGGGGTTGAGCATGTAGGGTAGCGCCGGGAGGGAGCGCTAGTGCCAGTCCTCGATGGCGCCGGCGGGAGGCCTTGGACGGGCGCGTCGTCGAGCACGCACCACCACACGTTGCTGGGAGGGGACGGGGGAGACATTTCACCCGCGGGTGACTCGCGAGGCCCCGGGGTTGTATATTAAACTCTCAAAATGTAGCCTATACAAGGTCAAAAAGAACCCAACACAACAAAATATTGACATATATAAACAAAACCCTAGCTCTCTCTCTACTCTCTCCCCAATCGCCATCTCCCCTCCCATCCCACACACACAGGCGGCAGCGACGTGGCGCAGCGCAAGGCGCCAGGGCACGGCGGTCGCCGGTCGCCCTCTCGGCCTTTCCCATCCCCAGCTCCTCTCCTCTCCCCTCTCTGTTCACCCTCTCCGGCTCTCCCTACGGTCTGCCGAGTGCTGACGACACACGTCGCACGGGCGGCGTGCAGGGCGCACAAGCACGGCGAGGGCGCGACGGCTGGCGAGGGCACAAGCGCGGCGGTCGTCCCGGCACACGGTGTGGCGGCCAGTGAGGGCACAGGCGTGGCGGCCATCGATTCACAGCTTCACGCACTGAGAGTCAATTATGTACAATTATGCTATTTTTGATGGTGTGTGAATTATGTACCATATTTGTTCTTGCCAAATTGATGATTGTCTTGTTTTTTTTTTGCGGATGGGATAGATATTTTATCCAATGCGGGGCCCTAGTTGGATCGGGGACGGGGCCTGATTTGGCCCCGCATCTCTGGTCGGGGCCAGGGGCGGGGCCGTTCCAGCCCAACCCGACCCTGCCCCGCCTCGTTGCCATCCCTAGCTGCAACCTCGGGTGCCCCACCAGCGAGCATGGGCAATTCCGTCTCATCACCCGGTATTCCAACGAAAAAGATTTCAAAAATGCACAAAACGATCGAAATGGCAAAGTGACTGTGAGTACGCGCTTCATATTGACATTTTAACGAAGCGTGTTTTTGAGATGGCATTCCAATGATACTGTTTTTTAAACCTGGTCAAATGTCCATTTTCTAGTTCGGGACTTCCCAGTCCTAGCCATGTAGCCTGAGAGCTGAGATACACACCCCAGCAGTATCCTGTGCAAGGCATGATCGAGTCGAATCCGTCCCTGCCAATGGCACAAGTCTTTTCAAGGGGGTGTTTAGCCCCTCTCCCCCCCCCCCCCCCCCTAGCTAGCTGGTAGTGGCTGGCGCTACGCATGCACAGGCACGTCGCTTCGCCCGCTGCGTGCATCATATGCATCCATCCATCTGGTCTCCTGTTTTATGGACGGACGGGTCGCTGCACGGGCGGTCTGCACGCTGTCACGCGCAGCCTGGCATACGGGCTTGTCATATGTCAAAGATGCAGACACACACGACACAAGAGCCAGTTGGGGTTGGGAGGTTGCGCGTAGCCTCTTTCCCACACGTGACCCCCTCCCTACTCTCCCCACTGCCGCCACAACTTACCAGGATCCATGCGAGAATCGCACCAAAAACGCCACCAATCTCGTGAACTCCACCACCTCCATCGTATCGCCCGGCCTTTCCACTAGCTAGCAGCCTAGCACACAGCTGATCGATCGGCGAAGCTAGTCACGCCACGGCGATGCGATTATCCCGGTGTCGTTTACGCGGCGGCCGCTAGGGTGTCGGATGGGCTATGTCGTCGTCGTTGCCACTGCTTGTGTGTGTACCAAATCGGGTGCGTTGTTTCGACTGTTGGTCGATGCGAGTACCTACCGCATGTGATGGACGGGCCTGCAGGCGACTTGTCGATGGCAACGTACTCACCCGGCCTAGCATACGACCTGCTGCCTGTCTCGTGAACGCCACGAAGCGGCAGCCTGCATGTCGTTTACGAGGAGCCCTTAGATTCCCCTCCAGAATTAGGAGTACACGCCCTGTGTTGGTGTCGATCAATCGATAATGTAGATTGATCGCAATCGAGATGGGTGTTGATGAGCAGGATCATATCCATCCTCCTCTTGGGGGTTTCTCTGCAGGCTCCTGACAGACAATGAATGTGTGCACATGATCAATGCAGATGCGTGCAGCTATCGAAATCTTGGTTGGTACTTGTCCTGGATGGCTTGATTAGATTGTTAATACCAAAACACATTTTTTCGCTCATACTGATATACGAGTAGTAGTAGGACTTCCTCGTGAGCTCTCTTGAATTCATGTGTGTCGGAGCGGCAGCGTCACACGCTGCGCCCCTACGCATTTTTAGGATCTCAGAGCAGTCATCAGTCTTCGTGTACCTCAGTACTTTGAATTCTCTTTGCCTGTAGCAGATGCTTTTTTTTTTTGACATGAATAGCAGATGCATTCACTGTGCATTCCCTTCCCCCTTCTCTCGATCGACGCGACTTACCCGTATACTGCATCACTGCAAACTCACATAAATTTACCCGTGACCGTGTGCCCGTGTGATCATCCTCCAATCAAACTGTCCTTCCCTTTTCACCTTAAAAGGACCGGCCGGAACGCTTCTCTCATCTTCCAGTCGTACTATTACAGTCCAGTCGCCGCAATGGATGGCTGGCATGTCAAAGATGATGAATTGGTGATGGTGGCACCCGGTTGCACTTGCGCCCGCGGCTGGCAACGCGGCATCACAGATCTCACACGCGCGGACTAAAAACCGACGTGACAACACGGCCGCGGCCAACGACGAGACCGGCCGGTATGGGAGCTTGCCGCTGCATGCGACGTCGACGTTGATGTGGCCAAGACACGGAGCGTTACGTATAGTGCGCTCGTACGCAGGCGCGCATGCAGCTCGGCGATCACGGAGCTAGCGTCTGTCTGTACTGTCTACGCGCGCCTCCACACGACGCTGCCGACGACGACTCGACCAAGCCGGCGGCCGGAGACTTTCCCAAGCGTTTTCGCTTGCGTAGCCTGTTTTTACCATTTGACTGCGAAGTCTCGCTATGCATTGCATGCATGCAAGCTGATCGCTCCTGGCCGTTCTGCTCCGGCGAAAGCCGAAAATGGTGGAGCACAAGTCAGGGTGTTCAGGAACCGACCCTGCACATCTGTATCCTCTTCCCTGGCTCCCTCGGAGCTCGTGAAGAGTACTGGTATAGCGTATCGCAATTTCAAACATGGACTCGGACTCACCTGTTTGAAATACCCGAGTAAAATTTCGGCGAATTCTGGACCAAAGCACGTAAGCATTTTACTACGGAAAGTCTTTTTGATTGTCCTAACAGGCTAAATTAATTAAAGTCGTTAATTTCCTCTACGCGCAATTCCGGCTTCAATTCCTAGCTGTGCAACTTTTGCAGCCTTGAGATAATGAGATTAGACCACAGTGTTTGTCCGGAGAGAAACATCATCTTCAACCTCGCTTAACAACGTACAGCCTCCTTTCATGTCTGGGCCCTAGAATTAGCGAGCGCGGGCGTACTGGTTCAATCAATGCAGCGAAGCCCACAAACTCCGATAGGCCAGGGTAAGAGTCTGAAGTGTAATGAAACAGGGATGGATTTTTGTGCAGTAGAAGTATCTTTTCTTCTCATCAGATGTTGCCAAACCAGTTGTTTACAAAGATAACAAGACATGCATGCATTTCGCGTTCGCGGTGGTAACACACTAACACTGACACTTCAGGAAGCTTTTTTCAAGTTGCTTGAAGTGTTGCAAATTTACGGAAAACATGTTCGAGAAACTTCTTCAAAACGATACTCCGTGTTTAGAAACGTTCCGAGGAATTATTTTTTCTTAAAAAAACCATCATAAAAAATATAGACGTTCATAATGCATGAATATCTTTTCGAATGGTCATAATGCACCGATACTCACCCTTATATATGAATGCACATACATATTTCTATGAGCATCTTAGTATATTTTTAGATTAACATAGTTACCACGGAATCTAAAACTTAAACTCGGATGAAGGTATGTTTCACCACAACCTAACCCGTAGAACCGTATACCTTATATATAAATCTAGAGCTATATTCCACCACAAGTAACCTAAACCGTAGAGCCATACCGTAGAGCCATATACCTTGTATATGAATCTAGAGCCGTATTTCACTTTGCACTTCCAAATAATTCGGCAATTGCATTAACCAACATTCACCCTACCTTGAAAAACTTGAAACCCTCGATATAACACTTTACATTCTTCTGAATCAACAATAACTTTGATAAAACCACCTGAATCACCCGACCATTTAACCTATTCACTTAATATTTACTCCAAGTATAAATGTAACAGCAGTAGAAACTAGAAAGCATTGGTCTTCTGAAATATACCGTAGGAGTAGTAAAAATGAAAAGGGAGCCTTGATCACCCAACTAGTAGTAGTACTAGCATAGTACTCCCTGCGTTTCGAAATATTTGACACCGTTGACTTTTTAGTACATGTTTAACCGTATCTTATTCAAAAACTTTTGTGAAATATGTAAAATTATAAACATGTACTAAAAAATCAACGGCGTCAAACATTTTGAAACGGAGGGAGTAACTATAGTTAGCCAGTGGTCCATTTCGCCGGCGGTCCCCGTGCAACAACAACCCGTTCCAAGCGTATCCAGTAGAAGCAACAGCTTCCCTTTTGCGGCAAAAAGTCGCGCAGATACGCATGTCAGCTGCCGAGAGTTGGGCATCATGGATCACTCATCGTGCATGAGAACGAAATGGCAATGGATCGAGAAATCTTCTTTTTTTCTCAAAAGAAAAGGTGAGGTGATTACTACGTTAAGTAGACGGTCGAGTTGCACGCAAGCAGCCAGGCGAAGCAACAACAGCAGGAGCGATACAAACCGGGTGCTTTGAAATAGCAACTCGCCAAACGGACGCAAACAAGCCCAAAGCGTCCACGGAGGAACGATCAAAAGGAAGAAGAAGGAGAAGAAACAAAGGAATCATTAATTATTTTTTTCCCATATTGAATATGGCTCGCAGGTACAGCTTAATAATAATCAATTCTTATTGTTCGTACTGCTAATAATAATAATTAAGTAACCAATTATGTTAAGCGTCGTGCGCCAGACAAGCTAGTAGCAGCGCACGTACGCCAAGAAGAACGCGACGGCGTGGATCGTACGGCCCGGATTGCCCGAGCGGGTGGGCGGCGATGCGACCGCGTACGTACACGTGTACGCCTATTCAGAGGGGACTCACGAGACGTCCACTGGCTTGCACAGGAAGAGCAGTGACGACGGCTGCGGCTGCCTGCCGGCGCCGGCGCCGCCACCGCCGCCGAGGCGCTCGTAGCAGTCGATGGAGAAGAGCGACAGCGAGAGGGAGAGGGACAGGCGGGCCCTGGCGTGCGCGTGGGCGATGGCGCCGCCGCCGCGCCCGAGGCGGTCCAGCGCCGGGCCGAGGCAGAGGCGGTAGAGGCGGCGGTACCCGCCGAGCGCGGCGACGACGGCGCGGGTGGCGGGGCCGGCCGTGGGGCCGGACGCCGGCCCCACGTGGCGGAGGCAGAGCGCCTCCCAGACGGCGTCCCGGCGCGCCACGGCGGCCCAGAGGCGGCACACGCAGGCGGCGGCGGCGAGCGAGCGGCCGTCCAGCCGCGCCAGGATCTCCGCGAGGAGGTCGGCGTTGTCGTTGATGTTGTAGCAGTTGCCGCCGCCGCCGAGCAGCTGCATCCGCAGCTCCAGCTCCGTCACGACCACCACCTCCTCCCGCCGCGGTACTGGCCGTGCACCCATAACACCGCACACTAGCACGCACGGCCGGCCGTGCCGGTGCGTCGAGGGTAGTGCAGCGCACGCGGCCTTCGTGGAGGAGAGGCGGCCAGCGACGAGAAGTCGAAGTGAGAGGTGAGAGCGAGACGGGTGGAGAGCGTATATATAGCGAGTAGCAAAGCTGGGGTTTTGACTCTAGGAGCTTATGCTCTCGTGGGGGCACACCAAAAGGCGATTAAAAGGGTTCTTGGAACCAATATGGCAGTCGCCGCGGAAGCAACAAGTTCAGTGAGAGAGAGACTACGGCTAATTACTCTCCTCTGTCAGCCACTTAATTACACGTAGTAAGAACCGTAGAAGTAAAGAAATCCAAGAGCGAAGAGGGGTATCTGGTGTTGCGAGTGGAAGAGGATATGGGGCCAAGGGGGACGGGCCAAGCGGCGTGGAGATGTGCGACGGCCAGGAGTGAGGAGGCGGAGTAGGTGCGCGCAGCGCGCTGGTGCGACTTGAGCGTTCGGCGTCCGTTTTGACGTGAGGAGGCGAGGCGGTGTGTTTTCTTGTCCTGGGGAAGAGATCGAGGGCGACAGACACGGGCAGCGAGCGTTGTTTACTTCGACCGCGTAGTTTTCCCTTTGGCTTTACGGCCGGCGCGTTCCGTTTTACATGTCGACGCACGGTGCGGGGGGCCGCGTGTTCGCTCGTCGCCGTCCGGTACTTGAAGGGCCGTGTGCCTCGCCCTACTTGTGTAGTGGTATTTCGGCGGCCAAACAAAATAGACTTTGGTTCAACATATCGTATTTGTTCTTTAGAACCTGTATGATGATCATACAATTTGTGACTAGCACCCATATATAAAATAACAGAAAAACTAGGAGATGTGATTCTGTTGCCATGGATAAATTAAGAGCTAACCGTTATTGTTAGATCCATTTTCTCTATACCAGTTTCTCCTCCCCACCAATTCCTTTCGCTGCATCACTTCGTCCTCCTCTCTCCATCAACTACGTACTCCGCCTCACTTTCCCGAGAACTAATCGTCGTCCACCTACTCTCTTCTTCGATCTCTTAACTATAAGAGTTACTACAAAACGCTATATCGTTTCAACGCGATAAACCCAAGTATATGTTAGCACTGTATCGTAGATATCAGATCCAATACTTGTGGTATTAGATAGGTATAATGGTACCATACATGATACTTATAGGTACCATGTCAATGTCATGATCTAGTACTATACATGATAAACATGTCTAATACAAGATCCAGTAATTACGGTACCATGTTAACACCATCATGATTTTAACTATTTCTTCCAAACGATAGACCATTTTGTAGTATTTCTGATACAAAATCATGTAACTCTTTTATAAATGATTTTTAAATGTGTTAATAACCACATTGTTAGTTTAGGATTTTTTTTAAAAAAATCAAACCTTATTACCATCAGGTTTACAATTATATAGTTTTTAAAATTCACATCAGTCATCACCCCTTACTTATTTGCCTTCACTTTACTTGATTATCGGTCCGTCATGACTTCTTTTCATCCTCAGACCTTCAAAAATAAAACCTACACTTTTCTCGAGCTTATTGTCTTGCCCCGTCAAACATCTTCATCCTACTCCTTTATGACCTGTCCTCCCCATCTCTTCAAAATTTATTTATTCTGAATTTTAATTTTATAGTGAGGAGGGGCAACAACATGGTCACAAAGAGTAAGGTGACAATGGTTGAGGGACATTTAAAAACCATAAACTAGAACCCAATGATGATTATATTTGATTTTTAGAATTTTAGTAACAATACATAGAAGGAATGACGGCAAGTCATTTTAAAGAGGTTGGGTGTTGGCAATTGGTGAGACATCTAGAAACATAAAGGAATAATACAACAATAATACTGTTAGATGTTTAAATCCCGATAATAATAAAGAGAAGGGCAATGGTCAGACCCTGAAGGAGTAGGATAACGGTATTTGATAGGACTTCACCAAACAATTAAAAGGGAGCCTAGCGAGATATATACGAAGTAAAGGTGAGGCAAAAGAGAAAGAGGTGGTGGATGTTGCATTTTAGAAACTATAGAAATGAAACCTAACAGCGATAAGGTTCAAAATTTGCCACTGGTTTTTTTCAATTTTATAAAGAGGCCACTCGAATGATAGTTTCAGTTGTATTTTTATAATTTTCTAGTGACAGTTTTGTAATAACAATTCAAAGCAATTGTAAATTTGTAATTGTCCCTTAAAACTAAGCAAGCAGGGATTTGCAGCTTAGCTAAAGAACGTAACCCGGCCGCCGCCTTTCCCGGGCCCTGCCCGTCCGTTGCGTCTCCGTCCTGGGGATGAAGCCCATGCTCGTGACAAAACATTTCGTAACCGCTACTAGTTCTTATGGTTTTCGGGTCGCGTTCCGCCCAAAAAAAATAGCGCAAAGTGGAACGAGGCCACAACGGCTAGCCACATGCCCACATCGCACAATATTTCAAGCCACCTAGCCAAGGCAGCCAGCCACACGGACACAACTTTTCGGTCTACACGAAACACGTTATCTTTTCGGCGTCACTCCCATCGAAGTTTCTCCGATCTGGTTTTCCCGATCGATGAACGCTCACATCAACGCGTCGTTTACTCCGCGATTTTGGAGGCTTGCGCGCGAGACAGGTCGTGAGCGTAATCCGCCCTTGTTCCTTGGCGCTTGACGTTTCACTTTGGACCAAAGCAACGCACTGTTGGATGAACAGGTGACCGAACTACTACACCTGTGCAAGGCTGCAACCACCGCAAAACCGATCGGCATGGACGTACTGCGGTCTGCACCCATCTGCTGCACGTACTGGCCGCATCGTATTCTCTCTCTCTGAAAAAAAATGGGGAGTCACCGTGCATGATCGAGCAGATCGGCTGCTCGGTTGCCGCCATCCCTGATGCTATGCATGCTGTGTCCCTGCACACACTGCATATGCAACGTACGCCTCGCTCGGGTAGCACAGGCACAGCACACAGCAGCTGGGACCCCTCGACATCAATTCCCAGTTTGGACGCTACTGGGTTCCTGCTAGCGAGGCATGCATGTGCGCTGCGTATCTGATCCGGGCTCTGCCATGAGCAGTACTGGAGTACTACCATATACTGTGCCTGATCGGAGAGTCTAGTAGACGACACATGCTTGAATTCGATCGTCGACGACCTCACTCTGCGCCATCACAGTTCCGCGCGTTGCATTGCGCTGCAGCAATGGCGCGTGATTTGACCACTAACCTTCAGTTTCCTGCAGCAATTAAGTTGGATTGACGTGCCATTGTTCCTAATCAGTGTAGATTCATGTGTTAATATGAAGTGTAAGATCAGTTATAGGAGTAGTTCTCATGCCTTATGGAGGAATTGAACAGGGGCACTCAGGCAGAGGGGCCGAATCCAGGCATCCAGCTGCAATGGTGATCGAGCTTGAGCCTCTCTAATCAGCGAGTAATGATTGGTGGACAATAATTCAACCACCAGTCTTGGATCGGTGCATCACATATGGACGGTGTGTGGCCGGTGATCATGAAGCGTATAGCGCAGGGCGCCGCTAGCAACAATAGCGTAGCAGAGCTTTAGCCTAGCTGTGGCGCCTGTGATCCATGTGTGGTGGGCTCGATCGGCCTATTTCTCTGCGGCTGCAAATGCTGAATCCAAAGCCACGGAGTTGTGTTCTTGTCTCGCTTGTTGCCTCCCCCTTGTGTTCTTCTCCCCAGCGAGCATGGCTCCACCACCACGTAGTTGATCGGTGTGTGTGTGTGTGTCCCACTGTAGTAAGCCGAGCTAGCAGCGCGTAACGATCACGAGCGAAATGAAAACCCACAGCTAGCGAGCGGTGGAATCTTCCTTTTGTTGGCTTGCTGGGAGGCGGGGTCGATCGATCGATCGATCCATCATCGGCTAGGAAAGCGCATGCAGCGCAGGGCTGCTTTTCGGCTTTTCGGCTGTTGCCGTGGGGGTTGCATGCATGTGTGTGTTGGGGGCAACCAAGCATTGGATTGATATCGCCTGTCGGCCGGGCCTGCTTCTGCTTGTGTTGTTGGGGGCGCCCGGTCAATAAAGGTTAGGAGGAAAGAAAGGGTCCTCGCGTCATGTCGTGCGAGCGAGCGAGCAAGCGATATCAAGCAAATCAAGCAATCATTCGATCGCGGATTATTTGATATGTCGAGATTATTTGTTCGCTTTTAGCTGCTGCAGAAGATAAGAAGGCCTAAAGCTAGCTAGCTCTAGATAGGAGGCAGCTGACAAAGCTCGGATCAACTGTAGCAGACGCAAGAGAGGGAGATAGAGAGAGAGAGAGCGCGCGCAGCTATTTCTAGCATAGTATTTTGTCTCAAAATAAAACTATTTTTCTACCTAACTTCTCCTCTCAACTAATCACAACCATTCTTTTTCACCTACTTTCTCTTTTCAACTAATCACACACCTTCTTCAATTATTCTCATCTACTTTTTTAATACCCGTGCCAACTTTAAAAATGCTTACATTTTAGGACGGAGGAAGTATGTTACTAGGAGTGTACTCCGTATATGAGTACAGTATTATGTAGGAGTATGTGCTGAGGCAACGGCTAACCTCGAGTCTTCTCAAAAAGTAAAAGAGAAAATTTCTTGTTACCCCTAAAATTATACCTAATCTTTTCTTATCCCTTCGAGTTTTGCTCAGTGTAGATCTCTTCTATATCTTTCCTTCTAGTTGACTGTAGTATTAAATTCCTAAACAAAGGTCCATCTTGCCCATGTGAAAAAAACATATAAATTTATCGAAGTGCGTTGTTTTATTGTATTAGACTATTATATTTATAAATTTATTATGGGAGATATTATTAAAACAAAATTTATTTATATATGACTTAAAAATAATATTTACTTCTAAATTATTAAACCTAAAACATGGAATGGAGATAACTAACATCTGAAAGATGTCATATAACAAATTGTGTTGTAAATAATATCTTCCATAACAAACTCATAAATATGATAATCTCTTTCAATAAATTTCTACACTTCAACAATATGCTCCATACAATTATATACTTTTCATACCAAAAGGTAATATGGATTTTTTTCACATGAATTTGACAGACAACTAGCAGAAAGTGTATAAAACGAATCCAATCTAAAATTTGAGGTTACATACAAGAAATGGGCAAAACTCAGAAAGAAAGAAATTAAGTAAATTTTCAAGGGTGCACAAAAAATTTTCTCAAAAATAATCGGAGTAACCAAGGATCACATGCTGCAGATAAAAACGTCGTAGGACTAATTAAATGCTACAGTACTATACTATTTCACTGTAGATGCGTAGGCGCTGGTTCAATTAAGTTGGTTCGCGTTTAATATGCGATTTTTGCAGAAGAACGTCCACGTAACGCATTCAAAGCCCAAGGCTAGGCACACGCTGATCGACTTGTCTGCAAGATTTCAATGATGTTTCTGGGTCCCGATGCAACAAC